GCTGGGACCACAGGCCCCCGCCACAATGCCTGGCCATTTTTTGGTTGCAGCCATCGTTGTTTGGCGGGCTTGGGCTGGGGATTCGAACCTGCCACCTTAGGTGTCTGTGGCTGGTGCCTTAGCCGCTTGAGCCACAGGCGCCGAGCCAGAAATGGCTTTTTTAGTTGTTGTGACCAATGAATAAAACATAAACGTTCTAATAGCAGATCAGTTCATTTAGTTTAAAAATAATTCAGTCTTCCTCAAGAGATAACCACATAATATTCTTTGTTCATGCAGGGCACTGTGTGCTGGGGTAGAGACAGTAATTCCTATCTCCATGTACTTTATAGTCTGAAGGAGAATATAATATATAATGACAATAAATTGTGAATATCTAGTGAGATTCTGAACCTTTTCAGAGGAGAGACCTTAGAAGTGACTTTGAAGGATGAATAGACTAAAAGGGAAAGTAAAGGACATAGGAAGTTGTTATAACTAGAACATCATATGCACAAGAATAAAAGTTGAGAAAAACTAGCGCTTAGTGTCAGGATATTATATTTTGTATAGCTGGACCATAAAGAACAATGAGTATAGTATTAGTATTAAGGTACCATAAATTCTGTGAGGGCTGGGATGGTTTCATTTCATTTCTAGCTCTAGCAAGGATAGTGATGGATAGTGCATATCATTGACAAATACTGTTCAAAGAAGCTGGCAATTATATACACGTTTAAGGATCACTGATTTGAAGTGGTGGGGTCTAGAAGTGTTTCAGAATATTTGCATTATTGCCCAAATCTGAGAATCCAAAACCCAAAATGTTCCAATGAGCATTTCCTTAAGCATCATGTTGGCACTCCAGAAGTTTTAGATTTTGGAGAATTTCAGATTTTGGATTTTTGGGTTAGGGATACTCAACTTGTATAAGGGCCAGACTGGCAAAGGTATAAGTAATTTTAAGGAACGATAGACTTTGACCTTAAAGGGTGATGACATTGATAAGATTTGTAATTTATAGAGGTCACCAAGTATAGAATAAAGAGGAGAAAAATAGAGAAATATCTAACAGGAAGACAAATGAGGATACCCATCGAGTTATCCAGATCAAAATGTAGTAAAATGTGGAGAAATGGAGCGAACGTGAATTTGAGAAATAATTAGGAGAAGGAATATTCTGGACTTAGCAATTAGGATGTGGAGCAAAGGGGAAAAAAAGAGAAATGACTAAGTTTCTTTCTTGTGTAGTTAAGTATCTGGATTTCATTCTGTGAAAGAAGCTGGCTTTTTTGCCAAAATGTCTTGTCTAGTGCAAGTGAAAATGGAATTGAAATCTTGTCACCAAAGGCTGTGCTAAATTTATGATTTATTTTAAAATCATAATATCAGATTTCAAGTTACTTTAAAATAAGAATTATTTTCATTTTGAACTATGTGATTTGTTAATAGGCATTCTTTTTTTTTTTGATAGCCATGAATCATCTTAATGGACAGAAAATGTATGGAAAAATTATTCGTGTTACTCTCTCTAAACATCAGACTGTACAACTACCTCGAGAGGGCCTTGATGATCAAGGGCTAACAAAAGATTTTGGTAATTCCCCATTGCATCGTTTTAAGAAACCTGGATCCAAAAATTTTCAGAATATTTTTCCTCCTTCTGCAACCCTTCACCTATCTAATATTCCGTAAGTACTTAAGCTGGTGTTTGTTAAGGATATAAATTGCATTTTAATAAAATGTAAAATTTATTATTAATCTTTACTTTTTTCCCCATCCAATTTTCCTAGTCCTTCAGTAGCAGAAGAGGATCTACGAACACTGTTTGCTAACACTGGGGGCACTGTGAAAGCATTTAAGTTTTTTCAGTAAGCAAGCTTCTTTGTCTTTAAAGTAGTGATTTGATAGAAGTAAAAAGTTTTCTCCAAGTAGTTTTTATTCTTTTTGTTTATGGAAATCTTTGGTTCTGGAATGGGCAAAATTCAAGTATTTAAAGAGCCCTTCCTAGTTTTTATGAAGTATCTAATTTCATAATTTTGTTTCAGAAGAGATCACAAAATGGCTCTTCTTCAGATGGCAACAGTGGAAGAAGCTATCCAGGCCTTGATTGATCTTCATAATTATAACCTTGGTGAAAACCATCATCTGAGAGTATCTTTCTCCAAGTCAACAATTTAAAAACGGGGAGATGAAGACTGTGGGTGAATCACATTGTTCGGTGTCATCACCTATTGACTGTTCAGAAAAGTGGGGACCAGAGTTTGATTTTATGTTAGTTTTCTTTTTCTTTTTTTTTTCCCATGCTGTTATCATTCCTTGGTTATGAAATGAAATGGCATATGTAAAGGCAGAATTATTAACTGCTGTATTTCATCTGTTCTATAGGGAAGCCATTTTTATTGTCTGTTTAAAATTTCAGTTTAATTTTGCTTTCTTTTTTCAACTTAGTTGACATACGTGCCTTAAAAAGGAAAACTAGTGTTGCTTATGTGCATTTACTAGAAAAAAGGAATTGGTTGTCTAGGGCACATTGTTACATGGGAATTAAAATATGTTTAGGCAGGGGTGTGTAAAAAGGTTAAGTTTTTGTTTCTCCTGCTTGGAACTTATTTTGAATTAGTGATTTGTCATATTATTTTCTATTTAATCAAATAAGATACATGGTACTGAAAGAATAAAGCAGCATTTTTAGGTTTTACTACCTTAGGCTTTATTGCTTTAAAAAACATTGGCCTTTTGTATCTCACAATTCTGGTCTAGATTCAGTTATGAATGTAGGCATTAGTTAAAATTAACAAGATGCAGAGGATTAATTTCTTAAGACAACAAAGTGATTTCTGTAAGTTTGAGCCCTATGTGGAAAGCATTGTGGAATCTTAACCTTTTTGTACACACTCTTGTGGGACGTATCATATAAATGTCAGCACTAAGTAATGTCTTGTTTGTGGCTGAATATTTTTCGTAGATGTTTTTGAAGTTGACATGACTTATGTGCATTTAAATATATATTGCCATCCTTAGTTTGTAATTAAGATTTGGAATATGGTTGTGGATTTCTGAGCATGTGCAGACTGGTCTAGCTAGTTCAGGAACTGGTGCATGTATTTTTCAAAGATAAAGAAAGTGTACTGCGGCAATTTGCAGGAAGATTAATTTTGTGGCAGTTTTCTAAAACTGACAACCAGGTGGGACCAAAGTTTATGTGCCTTTAGTCTTAATTTACCTTGCATTGTAATATTCAGTTTTAATAAATCTTCAAAATATTTTGTATTTAGGAATAGATCTGACTTTAATAAAAACATGGCTCAGAATCTACAGGTCAAATTAATTTGAACAGTTCTTGTCAATCTGAATTGTTGATTCTGTTTAAATGACCAATACTTTTTGAAATTGATGTACTTAGTTTCAAGATTCATAGATTCTGTTATCTATGTAGACAGAATGGTCATGTATATTTTCTATTAGTTGAGTTTTTACATCTTTAGAAATGTAAAATTCAGTATAGTTTGAAAGCGGCACAATTAAAAATTAATTTTCTAACAAAGTTGGGAGGTTTGATGGTTGTTTAATTTCATTTGTGTGTACTCTGCTTACCTCTGTAGCATGCTCAATAAACACTTCTGTAGCTCTGTATTCACCTTTTCTGTCTTTCTCTGCTGCCTTTTCTCTCTCTTCTCTTTGTTTTCACTCCACTGTGCTTCTGAATTCATGTTTATTCTCTGCCAGGGTGGGAAAGGAGTAATAATACTACAATTCTATGGCTTTGTACCATAAATAAATCCAGATGCTGTGAAAATATACCAGCTGTTTTTTTTTTTTTTTTTTAATTTAAAAGATGGTAACTGCTTTTCAGGAGGACACAGATTAAACATTTCCCACCCTGTTATAATCTACTGCTTTAAAGACATAACTTTAATTGTAGCTTGTTAATTCTCTCTATCTCCTTTGTTGTTGTTTTTTTCCAGTAGATTTATGCACTAATAGATCTTTTGGATTTGCCATGCTCTCTTGCTGCAGTTTCATCTTTCATCTTTTGTGTCTGCTAAAGATTTCTTACTAATTTTATACTTCTTTGTGAGTTAACAAAGAGTACTTGATGTTGGGGGAAAAAAGAGGAGTATATAATCTGCTTTTGCCTTGGGTAAAATATATATTTAAATACTTGAAAATAAGGGTAATTTGCATTTGAACAAATAGAGATATTACTGCTTTTTCACTTTTTGAAACAGTTACAGTTAGGGTGCTACTCAAAATGTTTTGGGCCACTTTTTCTAAATTGGTATATAGGTCTTTGAAATTATATGTGTCCTTACCTTCTGTTATAAAAGTATCTCACAATTAGGCAAAACTTACTAGGATAATGAAAAATAAAGGAGCATACAGTATTGTTTATATGTACTATACTTCATGCACTAATTGACCTCCAAGAAAGAAGAGCATAGTAACTTTAATTACATTAGAGGCAACAATTTGAGATGATTTGGAACTAGGATTGCCCATGTTTTTTCTTAAAATAACATAGTACAGAGTTCAGCAACATCAAAAACATCTAAAGTCTATAAAAACTAATACTATAATTAATGAATAGTAATTGAACAAAGCTTTTTCAGGTGAATTTCTCTCAGTTAATGGGTGGTACTCATAATACTTGAAAATAGGTTCTAGGCTCGGCGCCTATAGCTCAACCGGCTAAGGCGCCAGCCACATACACCTAAGGTGGCGGGTTCGAATCCCCAGCCCGGACCCGCCAAACAACAATGACGGCTGCAACCAAAAAATAGCCAGGAGTTGTGGCGGGCGCCTGTGGTCCCAGCTACTTGGGAGGCAGAGGCAGGAGACTCGCTTGAGCCCAGGAGTTGGAGGTTGCTGTGAGCTGTAATGCCATGGCACTCTACCCAGGGGGAGAGCTTGAGGCTCTGTCTCAAAAAAAAAAAAAAAGAAAATAGGTTCTATCCCTTTTTCAGGTAGTTCCTTGTGGGCAAGGTTAACTTGGAGAAATAAAGTTCCAAGCTGCATGTGGGAACTGTGCTTGCTCCAATTGCTCAGCTAGTAAGAGTTCCCAGTATCTCTCTGATGGGAAATGACTAGAAATGAAAGTTCTCCCTGCCCATGGACTGTGGCAGATTGTGCAGTCTCTGACTGTTGCAGTACAGCCTGCCTTCCACAGCATCAACTCAGTAAAAGGGGGATTCGGGCGTTCCTCGTATATTTGATGTTCAGTACATTAAATATGAACCCAGGTCTTTGGTTTATAGTGAATTGCTTGTTAAATGTTAGGTAAAAATAACATCAGCTCTGTCATTATTACTACTCTGTGCCTCAGAATCTTTTACAGTGAACTAGCTGTGAAATATTCTTAGGACTCCTGCTATGTTAGTAGAGGGCTTGCTTACCTTGAAAATTTAGAGAGAAATTTTTTTTTCTGTAACTGAAAGATAGAAAAATTGATTATTTTGAATTTAAAATGATTTATTTTGGACCTGAGTTTCAAAGTACCTACTTAAGGAATAGATTCATGCAATTCATTTGTAATAAATTGTTAGCATAGAAAACGCTTGCTTAACTAGGAGGTATAATGAATCATTTTATTTAGTGATACTGTTATTTGTTTTAACACTTTTGAGGCATTTAAGCTTCAAGATTTAGGGTTAGTATCAAATTTCAGTAATTAGCTTGATTTCTTCATGTATTGCTATTTATACCATATTGTCAGGAAAAAGATAAATCCCTTTTCTGAGCCTCATTATCTCTGTTTATATAATGGAGGCGATAAAATCTGCTCTGCTCACCTCACAGGGTTATTGTGACACTCAAATAGGATAAGTGGAGGGATGCTATGCAATTGACAAACTGATCCGTAAGTAAAAAAATAAACAGTGCTGGAGTTGCCAGACTGCCAGATTCACTTGTAGCAAACTTGGTTACTTACAATAAATTATCCCAATGTTTCTTTTGCCATAAAGAAATATTAATATTTTGAGATTATTAAATGTTAGTCTAGTAAAGAAAAAAATGTAAAATGCAGTTACATAATATGCATCCCAAAGTCAAATGAAAAGACACTATGGATTAGCCCAAAATTTTCAGTTTGAAATGTTTGATAGGCCAGTAATAAAACTCACATATTTAATTATACCACTTTATAGACTCCGAGTGAGATTTCATATGTATAATTCTTTGAAAGTTTCTTTTTTGTGAAACTTTGGAGGCAATTCTAACATTTAAAGGAAAGATATTCTGAATAGCACAGGACTTCAAACAAGATTTTCTGGCTGCCTTAATATATTAAAATGGACTAAAAATCTGAAAACATTTCTTCATTCGGGAGAAGAGGAGAGGGTACAGAATTGTTAGGTGAAATTAAATACTATATGTAGATTTCTCTTAAGTCAAATAGTGGTTTCTTGAAATCTGATGGTAAGAATTCAGTAGAAAATCTTAATTTTAAGCCACACCTTTGACTGATTATCAGAAACCTTGATTTTAGGGTAGCACCTGTGACTCAGTGAGTAGGGTGCCAGCCCCACATACTAAGGGTTCGAACCCGGCCCCACCCAAATTGCAACAAAAAAAATAGCTGGGGGTTGTGGCAGGTGCCTGTAGTCCAAGCTACTTGGGAGGCTGAGACAAGAGCTGGAGGTTGCTATGAGCTGTGATGCCACTCTACCGAAGGTGACAAAGTGAGACTGTCCCTATTTTAAAAAAAAATCTTGATTTTATAGTTTTTATTTTGAATATATTCTTGATTATCTTTTTCTTACAGGGTGCCTCAAAATTTGCTCCTAAAATCTCCTTGCATAAGGAAAATGGGAAATTGTAGGTAAATGTACCTTTATTTATAAAATAGTCAATATAAATATTTACAAAGATGTGGCCAACATGTAGAGAATATTTTTATAAAGGTTATTAGTTACTTTGAATTTAATATTTTAATATTCAGCAGTTGCTTTTCAAAGGGGAATTTGTTATATATTCTATAGCCTAAATTTCTTTTTCTGCCTAGTTAAAAAATACTGCAAATACTATAACATTCATGATGCTTAAATAGCACATTTTTTTTTTTTTTGGTCCAACACACACTTCACAATTCTTGGGGTTTTTTTTTATTTTTTATTAAATCATGTCTTTGTATATTGATGTATTTATGGGGTTCACTGCTTTGATATACAATGTGAAATGTTTACGTTGAACTAAGTATAACACATGCATCACGATTACACTCATTTCTTAATAGTTTTGAAATGTACCATTGCATCATGCACATTAGGTGAGGTCCCCCCAAATGTCTTCCTCCCATATACCCTCTTTTTTCCCCTCCCTTTCTCTTCTTCCCTTCTACTTTCTGGACTGTAGTTATGTTTTGCCATTCATATGAATGTGTAGGTGATTATATATTGATTTCATAATAGTGTTGAGTACATTGCATACTTTTGTTCCATTCTTGAGATACTTTAGTAAGAATATGTTAGAATGTTTTGACACTGATACTTCCCTTATCAAATCTCATGACATTTAACCAGTTTTGAAAAGGAAGTTTTTAAAACCTGCTGTTGAATAAATGCTGTCTCAAATTTTTCTGAATTATACAAAAAGTAAACAAAGGGCAATTGTTGCTATTTTAAAAACAGATTGTGTGCAACATCTTTAAACACAAATACAGCCTTCCTAGCCTGGCATAGGTACCTTCCTGGCAACTTGTTTTCCTTAGTCCTTTTCCTTGCTTTCTGCCACATTTCCAATTTCAGTGGGCAGAAAGAGTGTTTGGCATTTCTATGATCATTCACTTAACTTGGTGTTAGTGTGTTGTATAAGGTTTTGAGCCAAGAAATTTTAACTTTATCATGAGAAATTTCAAACATATAAAAGGAAGATAATAAACTCTCCCTATTACTTAGCTTTAGTTACCAAGACACCTTTTGTGCTTCCTCCACCCACTTCTTGTTTGCTGTATTAATGCAAATCCTAGACATTTCATCCTGAAACTTGGTGGTATATTTTCCTTATAATGTTTTATACCTGGTCATAGTTTTATTTCTTAATATCTGGCTTGTCAATATTGCATGTATTCAGCTCCTAGAACCTAACCACTAAAAATGCTCATGACGGCAGACCAGTGGCAACTAGTATCACCTGGGAGCTTATTAGAAACTCAGTTGGCCCTATACCTGACATGCTGAGTCTACACTTTTACAAGATTGGCAGGTGATCCACTGTGACATAAAAGTTTGAGACGAGTAGAACGTGTGTTCCTAGTTCTATGAAAATCAGCCTATCAGTGTTTTTACCCTTGAGTGTGAAAATGGTTGTATTTCATTGGTAATTGTAAGTTACTCAGAGATAAATATAGTTAATAATACTAAGGAATAATTATAGAATTGTAAAAGAGCCCTGATAACTAGTTCTAATGTTATTTTAAAAATAAACACTTCTAGAGTGGTCATATGAATTGTTTAGCAGCATAGTTACAGTAACTTACCTGTAATTAGAAAACAAATCCCTGAGTTTCTAGTCCAGTCTTCCAGTGTATTATAGTGATTAAAGGAA